AAATACTCTCACATATGTCATTGTAACTCAGAAGTTTCAGCCTGAGATCAAGTGAGAGAGAACAAACTTAAAAACATTTGCCGCTGCATCCACTAAAAGGATTTAATTTAAAATTCAAACCTCATCAGGGTGTCAGGAGGGAAAATGAAAAGCTAATAACAGGCATTGAGGTTTACATAAAATTAGTATGTAAAGTGAGAGGTAGGAGCCTAATGAGGAAGAGGAAGCAATGGTTTGTATTTTAACAAACTAAGCAGAAATGTACTAGACAAAGAAGCAAATCTAAATGAATTTCCAGCTATTTAAAACACCCGGTGCAGCTGTGTGGTAATTGTCCATGTTATGAACTAAGAGTTAAAAAAATATGTTTATATTGAAAATTCAAAAAAGAAAAAAAACCCCAAATGCACAATACATGAATTCACTCACCATCCTGATGGAATCATTCATTCAACTAAATAAAAAGGTATTTTTTCTAGGAAAGTAATTTTAAAGTATCAAAATATTCCACCTGCATTTACTTTAAAAGGAATGCAGGGGAAAAAATCCATTTGGGAGCACATGAAAAGACAAAAGTGTTTCTGGAAACAACACTTTTCATTCTCTGAATTAAGCCAAAGATAGAAACTGTTTTCCAAAAGTAGTAAATACACTAATAGCAGTGGAAACAACTTTTATTTGTAGTTAACTTTCCACTAGAATATCGGCTAATCCACTATATCAGAAATAACCCACTGTCCTAACATGTACCCAGCAATAGCTTTTATATGAATTCAATTACAGCACATGGGATGAGTAGTAGCAGTTGTGAGCTTTAGCACTGACACACACCTTCCAGGGTTCAAGTCTTAACTCTACCATACCTTGCTATGGGATTCAAACAGATCCTTGTCACACTGCATTCACTCTTAGCACAGGATGACAACACCAACTGCCCCTTGGGAGCACTGTGAGATCTATATATATTCACAGCTGACTAAGGGACTCTGATTGAGGCTTGACACATGCTTAGTAACTCTGAGCCATCCTTACTGTCTTCAGACAACACAGCAATGCACACAAAGTCCAACAGGACAGGATAGAGGGGAGGGGAAGACAGGGGAGGGGAGGGGAAGAGAGAGGAGGAGAGGCAGGGGAGGGGAGATCCAGAAATAGGTGCACATAGCTACAGCTAATCTAATAGTCAACAAGAGCACCATAAACACATGTTGAATTAATAACAAATGGTGTTGGGGAAACTGGATATCCTCCACATGTAAAAGAATGAAACTAAATCCCTCTCTCACACCCTGTATAAAATTTAATTCAAAATGCATCAAAGATCTAAACTACCATTTGACCTGCTATCATTACTGGCCATATATCCAGAGAAATGTAAGTCAGCACACTCATAACAGCACTATTCACAGTAGCCCAAATATAGAATCAGCCAAAATACCCATCAACTTATGAATGGATAAAGAGAATGTGGAATGAACGTAAACAAGCATGCACACATGCACACACACACACACACACACACACACACACACACACAATGGAGTATTACTCAATCATGAATTTATGTCATTTTTAGGAGAATGAATAGAACTAATGCTCATCATAGCTAAGTAAGTGAGACTGAAAATGGTCAGTGTCATGTGATCTCTTTCATATGAGGAATCTAAACATTTTTTTCTCTTGTGCCAGTCTACGTAGTGTTCTTGAGCATTTTTGTTCAAGGCTAGTACTCTATCACTTGAGCCACTGCTCCATTTCTGGCTTTATTTTGATGGTTAGTTGGAGATCACAGCCTCACAGACATCCCTGCCCAAGCTGTCTTAAAACTAAAATCTCTGGATCTCTGCCTCATGTGTAGGATAAGGAATGAGTTACTGATGTCCAGTAGGAATCGAGATATTTTTAAAACATGAATGACAGGAGTGTAAATCAGGGACTGTTTGGGGAGAGAATATGTGGGAGGGGAAAGGCAAAAAGAGAGATGAAAGAGGAGGTGAATAAATTAATTATATGGGGGTTGGGAAGGTGGCTCAGTGGTAGAGCGCTTGCCTTGCATGCATGAGGCCCTGGCTTCGATTCCTCAGCACCCCATAAGCAAAAAGAAAAAAACCTGGAGTGGTGCTGTGGCTCAAGTGGTAGAGTGCTAGCGCCCAAGCCCAGAGTTCAGGCCCCATGACCGGACCAAAAAAATAAATAAATGACTTAATTGATTAATTATATGCATGTATGAAAATACTACAGTAAAACCTATTAATAATTGTTTTAAGAGGCAGTGAGGATAAAAAGTAACACAGAGGTTAAATTTGACCAAAATATATGCATGTCTGAAAATATAACAATGAAATTCTTTTGTATAAGTCATAAAAACCTAATAAAAGCCTGACAAAATCCTGAAAGAAAAAAATTAAAGCTAGAGGAAGATGGTGGCAAACATTGCATGATTTTGCTGGTCCCTAGATGTAAAGGGAGACCTTGTCCTCTTCCCATCATCACTCTTTATTAGGTGAGAATTGTGGACTATCTCGGGCTAAAGGTCAGTTCCGGGTAGGAAACTGAAATACCCATGCCTTCACAGATGCCACACAAGTGATTTTAGAATTTTAGAATAGAATGAGGAGTCAATCCTCCAGCTGTCTTAGGGTGTGCTTTGAGATCTTGGCATATTTTTCCCTACAATGCCATCAGCCCACAAAGTACTTGTGGCTTGGTGACTAGTCATGCACCTGACTTTGCATTTGATCTTTGGAATATACCACCAAATATTTTATTTGTCTTGTATTTCCTAAAGTCATGCAAAGGGATGGGCATGAAAGAAACAAAGAAGACTTAGAAAATGTTCATGATTACTCTTCCCCTTTAATTTACTAGAAATTTCCACCCCTACAGAGAAGGGGGAAAAAGCCAAGTCTACAGGCATCTTGGCATGGTGACAATTCACTGAGAGATATGAATTCTCACAAAATAAACAAACCAAGCCCAGGCTCCTCCACACCTGCTCAAGTCCAATCAAACTATTATGGGCCTGGCATTGCTGCCAAATGATAAGAAAAGGAGAAGAATCCCTCAGATCACATACAGATCTTGATCGCATACAAATTCTGGTTACAGAGGAGGACAAGAGGACTCTGCTTGTCTAGAGTTGATCATCCTAGATCAAAAGAAGCTGAAAGAGATGTTCCCTAGGGACTGTGGCATCCCTCCAGAACCTGGGTCTGGGCAAATATTGCTGGGATAAAGAACAGAGAGTAATAGCGAGCTCTTCCAACACTAAGTCCGACTTAACTTAGCCAACTTTGTTCTGTCCACTTCATCAGAGCCTTGAGATTTCAACTCAGAAGGACCTGCTGTTCAAACAGCATAGCTCCCAATCTCATTCTATCTTACATTTAATGACAGTTATTTCTCTATATACTATTGAAATTTGATTCTGATTTTAAGAAGGAAATGAGAGGTTTTATGCTTCCTTCAAGTGGAGTTGATCCAACTGATTAAAGTACAGCACACATAGGAACGGGTTTCCATGTTTTTAACACCTTTGAACACAGAATATGTTAACAAAATAATTACAAGGAAAGTAAACATGTCTGACTAACACAGGGGCTTAAGTAATGGAGGATAGATAAGTAGAAGGAGGAAGTGTGGGTAATTATAATTATAATACTCTAAATACCTATGGGCAAAAGGAACTAGGAAAGCTGATGAGATAAATGGGAAGGAGACAGATGTGAGGACAGGGCAGGTAAGAATGACGAAGAGGGGACAGTGATCACGATGCATTGTACTTAAAAACCAACATGTTGAATTAGCCCATTTGAACAACTACTTAAAAACAGTTTAAAAATTAAAAGAAAGAAATTCTGAAGCCTGAATCAAATTTAATAGGGCCAGATGCTATAAAAGAGAAGTTATTCCAAAAGTTAGAATAAAAAAAATAAATATTAGCTCTGAAACTAAATAAATTAAGTCTGTCTACCATGATCTCATGTGTATGTGCGCGCGCGCAGCGCGCGCGCGCGCGCGCACACACACACACACACACACACACACACACAGAAGCACTGTACACATAAACAGGTAGGTTCAATTAAAACTCCATTGCACAGCAATTTAAAGATAGAAATAAAAATCGAAAGAAATGGAGTTGATCCCAAGGCAAGCATAATCCAGATATTATTTTTGCACAAGATACCATGCCTTAACTGTGGATCCAAACCATTCAATTTCACATGGCCCAAAACAGATTAGTGTCCCCATAAATTGGACATAAAAATAATCTGAACCCATAAACCCCTTCATCTCTGCAAGTACCACAGGAAAACAATAACTCTTCAAAATTAAGAGGAAGAATTGGGAAAGCACATGAAAGGGTCACATTGATCAAGATGCACTGTACTCAAACAAAAATGTTGAACTGAAACCCCTTTGTACAACTATTTAAAGATAACAAAAAATTAATTAATTGATTAATTAATCGGAAGAAACTTAGTCTAAGGAATAGTCAGAAAACCTAACTTAGCACATGATGTAAGTACCCTCATGTCCTTTGAATTTTCAGGTCCTCAATCTCTAATGATAAAATTAATGGGTTTGATAACTATCGAAGCATCAACTTAAAATTTCATTTCCCATTAATCAGTCTTATTTCAAGTACTTTTGGACATCATGATAGCAAAAGCTTAATTTGCATCTCAAAATTACCATGAGCTATGCAATCAAAGATATAAAAATGAACTTTTAAATTAAGGTGATATGAGTCTAAGAAAGGAAAAAAGGATAATATTGTGGGGTTAGCACACCCATGTCTTCAGTCTATTATTATGGGTTCCCTGACTTAATACCATTAATATCTTTTTTTTTCATTCGTTACCCTTATAGTTTAATATACTCAAGCATGTTAAACAGTAAGCACTAGATAAAAGTATCCTCTAAGAAATGAAGACTAGCCCAATGGGGATGGGAGCCTGGATCCCACCAGATCTCCTGGGAGATATCTCCTAGACTCACCTTCCACCAGTTGATCCAGACTGGAAATCTTCTTGAGCCCATCGATGGTGTAGATTGTTCTTACTCCCTGGGGCAAATTCACGTTATCTGACAGAGTTCGGGTCAAATCAGCCAGCAGGGCCTCAAAGGATCTGAAGCGGTCTGGGGAGATGGCATACACAATCCCTTTGAAGTAGCGGTCTCCATTCCGGTAGAAGCGCACCTTCTTGGCCTTCTTCTCGGAGCTGAGCGTCTGCAGCGTGCGGGTGCGGTAGAAGCTGCAATGGGCGCTGTGCGTGGGGCTGGGCAGGCCATTCACCCGAGACCCCCGGCTGTACCTCTGCGCCTTGTCCCGCTCATCGAAGTGCTCCAGCTCCATATCTCTGCCGAAGGACATGACGGACTGCGGGTGGAACCTGCGAGCCCCAGAAAGACAGACACACAGCCCGGGGTTACTGGGCGATTTCCTGGTGGGAAAGGTTCTGTGTGCTGCACTGCTGGGTGGAGATACCGCCCTTACAGCTCCACAAGAGCTGTCAAGAGGGAGAGAGCGGGAGAGGGGGAGGACAGCGAAGAGGCTGATCCCAGGGGAAACGGTTTATTACTTAACCACAGTTTGATTAGAAACAGCTCCTGTGTGTTGATTGCCTACCACCTATGCATTGTCACAACCTTTCAGACGATTATTGCCTACATTTACAGAGAAACTGAGGCACAGAAATCCCTCCTTCTACAGTGAATTACAGTGGATAAATGGTTGAGAGTTTCATGACTCCAAAGCTCAGCCCTCACTGAAGGGATAATTCTGCTAATTCGGGTAGAATTTGGAACATAAACGATCGTATGATTTTTACAACTGAAGGAAAGTGGGTGGATCCAAGTACTAGTGGCTCATGAATGTAATCCTAGCCATGTAGGAGGCTGAGATCTGAGGATCAAAGTTCACAGCCAGCCTAGGTAGTAAAGTCTGATTAATTGGCAAAAGTACGAAGTGGAGCTGTAGCTAAAGTAATAGAGCACCAGTTTTGAGCAGAAAAAGCTAAGGGATAGCACTCAGGCCCTGAGTTCAAGACCCAGTTCAAGACATTTAGGATAGTGCCTAATATATAACACATGTTTTATTTTTATTAATAAAATCTGCATCTCCACAGTCCATATTTCAGTATCTTTTTGTGCCAGTACTGGGGCTTGATCTCAGAGCCTGGAAAGTGGAGGGTTTTTCAAGTACTCAGGCCAACTCACTAACCTCCTTCAAACTTTGTAAGCAATATGGCCAAGTTGGCTTTTGAAAGGTTTGTTTTCTATTCATTCATTCATCATTTGTGTTGGTCTTAGGCCTTGAACTCAGAGTCTGGCTGTCCCTGAGCTTTTGTGCTCAAGGCTAGCTCCCTACCACTTGAGCCACAGCTTTACTTCTGGCTTTTTTGGTGCTTAATTGGAGATAAGAGTCTTACTAACTTTCCTGCTAAGGCTGGCTTCCTGATTCTCAGATCTCAACCTCCTGAGTAGGTAGCCACTGGTGCCCAGCCGGTGTTCATTTTTTCTTTTTAATATATTTTTATTGTTAAGATACTGTACAGAGGGGTTACAGTTACATTTCCTATAGAGCATTGTTACCCCCTCCTTTGTTTTTTTTCTTTCTTTTTTTTCATTCGTCAAAGCCAACATAGGCAGTAAAATCTATCTCCAATTAAGTAGCAAAAAGGCAGTAGTGGATCTGTAGCTCAAGTGGCAGAACACTAGTCTTGAGCAAAAAAACTAAGGTACCGAGCCCATGCCATGAGTTCAAACCCTAGTACTGGGACCCCTCACCCCCCCCAAAAAAAGACAGAGGTCATTCTTCTATCCTTTTGACTTTGCTCCAAATCTAATAATTCCCACTAGAAGGAAACATTCAGCAACCCAGCAAATAATGGCACAGTTGTGTTACCAGAGGTGAAAATCTAGGTTTAAGGGGCCATAAATGTATCAGCCATTTGATTTCTCTAGAATTAGGGAAAGACTTTTAGAAGCAGGAATTCTATCCCAATATGAAAAAAATCAATTTTTAATAATAGCATTTGAGTCCTGGTTACTCATGCCTATAATCCTAGCTACTCAGGAGACTGAGATCTGAAGATTGCATTCATTGAAGCCAATCTGGGCAGGAAAGTCCGTGAGACTCTTAACTCCAATTAATCACCAAAAAGCTGGATGTAGAGCAGTAACTAAAGTGGTAGAGAACCCACCTTGAGCATAAAAGCTCAGGGACAGAATCTAGGTCCTGAGTTCAAGCCCCAAGATCTGCACCCTCATACAAACAAATAAGGCAAGGTTTATTGAACTATATTCAACTGTTTTTTTCTTTCTAACGATTATGTGTTCACTCAGGGCAGGGACCACATTTTTTACTTTCCTCCACTGAAGTAGATAATGATGTTGCTGACAAAGCAAAACCACACTCCACGATATCATTGCCCTGGTTGCAGGCACCACTAAATGAATGTCACCAGCCTCCCTACACATCCTTCGTGTCCTGATCATTATTAAAACAGATGCTTTTACCTCCACTGGCACGAGTGAACCAAGAGATATGGAAGGTTCTCTAGGCTTCTACAGGTCCCCACTTCCTGCTTGGGGATCCTGCTAGGACAACACAGCCTCCACATTCTCAGATCATAAGCAGCTCAAGGCCTGGGACAGGTATGCATTAGCTCCAAAAGGGTAACCACCACACCTTGGACACAGACACTGGGTTGGGGAAGAAGGTGGAGACTGACTCTTATCAGAGATTTTCCTACAATTACTGCCATGCCAGGAAACCAACACTCTCGATTGTTCTTTGTGGAATTTCTCACCATTTTGAAGACTCTGTGTGCACCAGGCTCTCTACAGATGAGCTCGTGGGTTCTTGTTACACACACACAGAAATCTGGCATCAAGCTACCACATTGAGATAAGAGTGGGACTCTAGTCCTGGGCAGATTTTAACAGAGGGCTTTGGTATTCGGGGAGAGGAAGCAGGGAATAAAAGGCACACAGATCCCTCTGAGGGCAGCGTGCATCACCACACATGTCTTCGTCGCAGACGTGTGCATTTGTGTTATAATTTTCCTCTCTTGCAATCCCTTCTGACCGGTATCCATGTGCCATCTCACACTTAAAAACGCTGCCCTACTTTCCCTCCCGCTGAAAGGCGATATATTTAGGAACCATCAGGACACCTAATTCACCCTGCAATGTGGCGGCTCCGCGCGTGTTCACCTTACCCTGGACACACACACACACACACACACACACACACACACAGGTGCAGCAGAGAGGCAGCTGGTTTGAATGGAAATCTTTCCATGGCTTTCTCTCGGGCACACATTGCCTTGCCAAATCCAGGGGCGATGATCCTCTCCACCCCCACCCCACCCCCCAGCGAACCCGCTTTTCCTCTTTTGTGGAGGAGAGGGTGTGCAAGCGTGGTGGGGGGTGGGGGGCGGCGCGGAGGGCGGGGGGCAGTGCGCGCTCTACCCCTAGGGGGAAAATGCCATTTCCTCTCCGCGTGCTTTTAGCACTGCAGGTACCGGTTTGTGCACGAGGGCAGCCTCGCTGTCCCCAGAGGAACTTGAGACCCCTGCAAAGGTACTTGCAACACCCACACTGCCAGCGCCGCCACCATGCATGGATCCCCCCCCCCCCCACATAGCCACATTCCCACCCCACCCACCCCACCCCAAGCACACACCATCCGCAATCACACATCACCCTCCCCAGGCGCTCTGAAAGCACACAATAAGCAGCCAGGCCCGGCCACTCCTTCCCAGGGGACTCAACCCTCTCCACAGCCAGGCGTGACAATGACAAGCACCTCTCCCCAGCTCCTCCGTCCTTGGTTCCCCATCTCACAGAAGCCTGGGAACTGGGCAGGAGCGGGATGGAGGGGGGGGGCGATCTTCCGCCACCCCCTCCCATTGAAAGCCCGGGTGGCACCAGACAAAAGAGGCAGGTGCCAGCCGCCCCCGGGGCCGCCCGCACACACACCGTGCCCCGGCCCCAGGCCTGGACCTGGCTGGCCAGGGCAGGGCAGCCGCCTTTCGAGGAACGGTGGCGGGCAGGCTGGGGGGTCCGCCCTCGTCCCCCGGAGTGGCCCTCCCCGCAGTGCCGGTCCCCACCCCCCCCACCCCCGGCCTGGCGAAGGGCTAAGCACCCACCGGTTCTCCGAGAGTCGCCTCTGGGCTGGGGCGGGGGGTCTTTGTGGCCACAATCGGAGCCGCTTCCCGAAGCTGTCCTCGCCCGGGGCTGGGCGCGGCCGGGGCTGGGGGTGCTGCGGGGTCGCAGGCGGGGAGACGGCAGCGGCGGCGGGGTGGGGGGCGGGGGACGGATCGCGGGTGTCCGGGCGGGCGGCGTCCGCTAAGGCTGGGCTGTGCCTCGGCGGGTCCTCATTGAAATGCGGCGCTCCGCACGGCCTCGCTCCAACCTCTCTCTCCCGAGGAGGGCGGCGGCGGGCGCGCTCCCTTCCCTGTGTCTCGCTCGCTCGCTCGCTCGCCTGCCCACCCCTCTCTTCCTTCTCCGCCTCCGCGCGCGCCCCGTCCCATCCCCGCCCTTCCAGGCAGGGCGCACCCACTACGCTGCGCCCCGGGTCCGCCTCCCTCCCTGCGCCCCGGCTCCCACGGTGTATCCACTTAATCCAACCCCTCACCCCCCCCCCCCACACACACACACACTGATCTCCAGAACTGGTTGTCTGGAGATAGGGACAGAGCCGATGGCCGCCCTGGGGGATGGACAAAGATGGATTGGAACGGGGATGTAGGCTGGGCAGAGAGGTGAGGGGGCCCTAGAAATGGGGTCTCCTTCCTCAGAAGAGTCAAGGGACATAACTCCTAGCCGAGCCCCTAGGTGACTCAGACCTGTCATCCTAGCTAGTCGGGAGGCTGAGATGTGAGGATCCAGGTTCAAAGCCAGCTAGCTTGGGGTAGGAAAGGCCATGAGACTCTTATCTCCAGTTCACCGGCAAAATAAAGGAGGGCGGGGGGGGGGGGGGGGGGGAGAAGTGGAGAAGTGGCTTGAGTGATACAACACCAGCCTGAAGCAGAAAAGGTCAAGTGTGAGTATGAAGCTGTAAATTCAAGCCCCAGTACCTGCAGATTAAAAACAACAACAGAAGTTCCTTTTCCTTCCTGCCCCATCCACACCTTCTGATGGGACCTGGAGGTGGGACACTTTTCTCCCACGGTTATAGAAGCCACAGCAATCACTTCTCATTTAGGATGCTGTCACTCTATAACTATAGTTTTTCCCCCAGGAAGGGCCTGATCTGCACTTGAATCCCTCCCATTGACCCCAGGACATGGGTCACCCTTGAAATAGTGATCGGAGTCGAATGCTTTCTTTCACAATAAGCCCCCAATAACTTAAGACCCAGGTTTTGCTCACCACTACATGC